GGAGATAGATAAGGTGGTCATGCACTCCCATTTGTTTAAGGACTTGCCATAGTTTGCTGTATTCCACACAGTGAAAGGCTTTTGCATAGTCAATGAAGCAGAAGTAGATGTTTTTCTGGAACTCTCTGGCTTTCTCCATAATCCAGTGCATATTAGCAATTTGGTCCCTAGTTCCTCTGCCCCTTCGAAATCCAGCTTCTACTTCCGAGAGTTCTCAGTCCACATACTGCTGAAGCCTGCCTTGGAGGATTTTGAGCATAACCTTGCTAGCGTGGGAAATGAGTGCAATTGTATGGTAGGTGGAGCATTGTTTGGCACTGCCCTCCTTTGGGATTGGGATGCAGACTGATCTTTTCCAGTCCTCTGGCCACTGTTGAGTTTTCCAAACTTGCTGGCATATTGAATGTAGCACTTTAACAGTGTCATTTTTTAAGATTTTAAATAGTTCAACTGGAATGCCATCACCTCCACTGGCCTTGTTGTTAGACAAGCTTTCTAAGGCCCACTTGACTTCACTCTCCAGGATGTCTGGCTCTAGGTCAGCAACCACACTATCTGGGTTGTCCGGGATATCCAAATCTTTCTGGTATAGTTCCTCTGTGTATTCTTGCTACCTCTTCTTGATGTCTTCTGTTTCTTTTAAATCCCTCCCATTTTGGTCCTTTCTCATGTTCATCTTTGCACAAAATGTTCCTTTAATATCTCTGATTTTCCTGAACAGATCGCTGGTTTTTCTTTTTCTATTCTTTTCCTCTATTTCTTTGCATTGTTCATTTAAGAAGGCCCTCTTGTCTCTCCTATTCTTAGGAAGTCTGCATTCAATTTTCTGTAACTTTCCCTATCTCCCTTGCATTTTGCTTCCCTTCTCCTCTCTGCTATTTCTAAGGCCTCGTGGACAGCCACTTTGCTTTCTTGCATTTCCTTTTCTTTGGGATGGTTTTTGTTGCTGCCTCCTGTACAATGTTACGAGCCTCCATCCATAGTTCTTCAGGCATTCTGTCCACCAAATCTAGTTCCTTAAATCTGTTCTTCACTTCCACTGAGTCTTCATAAGGGATTTGGTTTAGATTATACCTGAGTAGCCCAGTGGTTTTCCCTACTCTCTTCAGTTTAAGCTTGAATTTTGCTATGAGAAGCTGATGATCAGAGCCACAATCAGCTCCAGGTCTTGTTTTTGCTGACTGTATAGAGCTTCTCCATCTTTGGCTGCACAGAATATAATCAATCTGATTACAGTATTGCCCATCTTGTGATTTCCATGTGTAGCGGCGCCTCTTGTGTTGTTGGAAAAGAGTGTTTGTGATGACCAGCTTGTTCTCTTGACAAAACTCTATTAGCTTTTGCCCTGCTTCGTTTTGAACTCCAAGGCCAAACTTTCCTGTTCCTTTTATCTCTTGACTCCCTACTTTAGCATTCCAATCCCCTATAATGAGAAGAACATCTTTCTTTGGTGTCAGTTTTAGAAGTTGTTGTAAGTCTTCATAGAACTGGTCAGTTTCAGTCTCCTCAGCACTGGTGGTTGGTGCATAAACTTGGATTATTGTGATGTTGAAAGGTCTGCCTTGGATTCATATTTCTACGGGCTTCTTGCCCAAAATAGTAGAATCCACATAGGCTCAAATTATTAAAACATCAACAGCATCACATCAGAAAACCACATTGAATTGAATTGATTTTAAACAATGTATTTTAAAAAGCCCCTGAAAAAAACTTGATTTGCAGCCATATACATAAATTTCACCCTTGAGCTATGTGAGCGATAAAACCTAAATTGATTTAAATGGCATTTAAATGCTAGTTCTTATTGCCAGTGTGACTGCAGCCTTAGGTTGTGCATAAATCCGCCACTATGTGGAACATGCACACAGTTCCAGTATTGTTACCTTGCACCACACTGCTGGTGCAAATTATGCATGAATAGCTTGCAGCAAAGAAATATTGATGTGATTTTATGTTTAAATGCATCAAGTTTTTTGGGGGTAGTGCTTTATTGATGTGCAAATGGGTTCCCATTCTTTGGTGAAACAATATGAAAGAGATGTTGATATAACAAGTTGTATGATTATGTTTCATGTATGTGGTCAATGGCTGGAATTCTACTGGTGTTTACATGAGATTTGAATAATTTACAGTAGATAATTGCTGCTGATTGATGGTATGCCAGGACACTTTTCAATTCTACAGTCAGGCTTCTAACAAGACACATGACAGAGATATGTTGTGGCACCTCATCAATTAGCTACATTTAGCTTCAGCAAGTTATGGAAACCTTAAGCAATTATGAATGAGAACTTGTCCAGTGTGTACATAGACATTGGACAGATTAGGGTTAGGAGAGACAAATGAACTGAAGAGACTTAAAGCTGATACAGACTCCACATGCCCGGTATCTCTACAATATTAAAACATTTAAAACTATCAAAAACACAGACCAGGGATTCTTATTACTTTAGGTTTATCTGGAAACAAGACTAGATATTCTATAGCTTCCAAAATCCAGGGATAAATTAATATAAAAACAATTTGGGACATGATGGTTGTTGTGGGTTTTTGGGGCTCTTTGGCTGTGTTCTGAAGGTTGTTCTTCCTAAAGTTTCTCTGGTCTCTGTGGCTGGCATCTTCAGAGGACAGGAGTCAGAACTCTGTCTGTGCTCTGGTGAGTTCTAACTCCGGTCCTCTGAAGATGCCGGCCACAGAGACTGGCGAAACTTTAGGAAGAACAACCTTCAGAACACAACAACCTTCAGAACAACAGCCCGAAAAAACCCACAACAGCCATCAGATCCCGGCTGTGAAAACCTTAGATAATACATTTTGAGACATGTTCCTGGATAAAATCTTTGTTTTAAGTAGGGTTGACGTGGACTTTATAGACTGATGTTGAAGCTAAAAGACCTGTTCTGAGGGTGGGGCATGCTTTTCAATTTCAGGGGATCAGGTGTCTAGAGTGGTCTGGTAGTCCAGATAGGCAGGGTATAAATCAAATAAATAAAATAAAATAAATATTAGTTAGATTTTATTCTTTTTTTGCTGGAATTGTGTGCATTTATATATTTCTCTTGTTATATTCCAGTTTAACCCACAGTTTATGTTCCTTATCCCAAGTATAGATTTCCTGGAGGACATGGCCATGTTATGGAGTTAGAGATGCATAATTCTGTATAGTTTTTGCTATATAATTCTATATAGCAAAAACAAAATGTCTTGAACCTGAATAGTCTTGGCAACTAACACACTGGTTTCTCATGACAAAAATGCTTACAGTGCTTTGCACTCAGTAAAGATTTAATGGATACATACTGTAAGTTGATTATGTTCCAGGTCTAACTCCAGGTGGACATGGTAATTATTACAGAAATTCCATATTGTGTTGAAAAAAAAAATAATGATCTGAGAGCAAGTTATCTGTCTAACTTGAAATCATCTCTAGGTCCCATTGCCTGGCTACATAGAAGCTTATTCCCGGCCACGCTATCAGCACAACTCTCCCTCCAGGCTTCCTCGACAGTACAGCCAACCAATAAATATGCATCTCAGCTTGGAGCAAGCCCCTCGGCCCTCGTCGGTTACCTCTCAACAGAGCCTAACAGAAAATGACTCTTCCGATAACCCTCTTGCCAACCTTTCTACAGCTGCTTTAGTGAAGGCAATAAGAGAGGAAGTAGCTAAGCTTGCCAAGAAACAGACAGACATGTTTGAGTTTCAGGTGTGATGCCTTCATGCGCTGTAAGTTTGCATCACATCACTAGTTAGGTCTCTGGTTTTTAAAATCGGCATGTGGCTTGTGCCAAAACAATGCCGTTCTTTTCCTATTATGAAACAGTCAGTACTGGGTTTTTGATGTTAAATAGAACAGCTGGTTGAAGATCAATTCTTTACCTATTAAGATGTTCCTGGTACCTTCTGTTAAACAGATATGTAATATATTTATATGCAATTGTCTGTTACATACCTCTCGTTCCATGAAGCTCTTCTGTTGTTGGAAACCTTATTTAAACAATATACCTGTCCAATGTTCCAGTATATTAAGAGCTTGGGAAGCACAAATATACATCACTCTGTAGCAACATGTGCATGTAAAAAAAAAGTGAAGTTTGTCTTTCTGGATCAAAAAGAAACAATACTAATATGAACATTAAGGGCATGTATTTATATAATACTGTAATGGCCAAGCTGATACATTTTTGAGACAACGTATCAAAGGACTGATTACAGCAAAGCAATAGAGCTGAGTTCTACTAGAAACCACACTTGAAGAGCAACAATTTGATGTAAACGAACTCTATAAAGACCTTGGTAAATATCCCCAAATTGATTAACTTAAAAATCAGAAAAGAGAATGAACTACGAAGAGACATACCAGCATAATTGGTGTTTGAAGAGCTGGTATGACGTTCCTGTTGAGTTACACAGAAGTGTTTTCAATACCCTGTCTGTCTTCACTGTGAAAGAAAATTGACCAAGTAAAAGCTCCATGGAATTTCCCAATGAAAACAAATTCTTTGAGTGTGCCCTATATTCGAAAAGGTTTTCACTCTGAACACATAGTGAGAGTGTTGAATTTGAGAACCTTGTGTCTGTCTCTGGTTGGAACAATGAATACACCTGCTTTTACAACAAAATCTCTGTTCAACACAGAGCACTCTCTTCCCCCCTCTAAACAATGGCTTCTAGTGAACTGATGCCAGAAAGAGCTGATCAGAGCTATGACTAGCTTTGATGACAGTGGAGCCATGACCATGCAAACTGTTTGAGACATCACTGTATCTTTGTGGGTTGACTACAACCTGTTTATTCTATTAAAGTGTAAATTAGCAAGCAAGTCTCTCAGGATGGAACAAAACATTCTGTAAATGGCGATGCTTTAGGGAACCCAAGGTTGCAGATTCTGAAAGGTAAATGTAAATCATTGTTCGACTGCAATGCCATGAAAATACAGCCTCTGGTTTGCAAAAAACAATATATATATAGCAAAATATGACTGTGTTCTGACTCATCTTTGGCAGTTCCATTTTTTTTTTTTTTAAATCTAGACTCTCACAGGAAAACGCTTTTTAACTTAGCATTTACGGTGAACTGAGACACTGTTGGGAGAACTAGTCTAGGATCCAATGGTGCATTTCTGTTGGTTCTCACTGCTTCTTGCAGAATTGGTGACCTCTCTTCTTCCAGACAACCTAAAAAGCTGCTGGTAACCCATTTAGAGGAAATGTTTTGGTACAATAGAGAGCTGCAGCAAAAAGGAGAAGAGAAGAAATTTCAAATTCTGGTGGTGGTAGGTACTGAAACTTGTTGTTGGATCTTAGCTGTTACCTTATACATTGGTGTCTGCTATGAAAACAGTTTTCTGTGTTCATTTTTTTTTTGCAGATTCAATTTTGTAATAACCTCTTATTATCAAATTTCATTTTTATGACTTTCTTTGGTTTCAGCAAGCAAAGAAGATAATATCATTTCTAGTCATTGGGCGGGGGGGGAGGGGAAACCGTTTTAAGAGATAGTGAAACAGAAAATCTACAGAGGAGAGCCAAAATGAGGAAAGCACGTATTTTAAGCAAAACTAATTCAGAAGAAAATTGAAAAACACATTTACAGTAGTGCAGCTTGGTGCTCATCAAATATATCAAGAGCTCTCTCGAAGTCTTAGTAACTGCAAAATCTTGTGGTAGAATTATTTTCTTGTTATTTAAACAAATTACTTATCAATAAAATATATTTTGTAATTAATATGTAAATAGATATTGTGTTTCTAGAAATGTTCAGTCAGCTAAGACCACTAAATACTCATAAAATTATTGAAAAAAACTGGTGGAGATTATACATATGCACATTGTGAGACAACCTTACAGAAGAACCAAATAAACTCAGGATCTCTTAAAAGTTTTTAAAAACCCTTTCATCTCCTATCAGCCAATTAATCATTGTATTACTGTAATGCATTGTGATAATCTTTTGTGCTCATCCAGTTGTTATATGTTCCAAAATACTATAACAGATAATGGAAAAGAAAGAGATGGCAATTAAATCTTGATCACTATAGATGGCATAAATCAGAACAGCAGCCACTTAAATCCCATCCAGATTTGTTGGCTTCTATGTATGTCTAGCCAAAGGAAGTAAACCATCAGACATTGCTTTGTTAATGGACAAAACATGCATAAGGATGCTGAGCAAGCCTTTGCTGCACACCTCTGGCTTTGCTAATGTTCTGATACATCTGTTTCATCCTTTTTGACACAGAGTATGTGAGTTTGAAATACATTTTATGATGTTGAGCCATACAAAGAGTTTAATGACCTGATGATTTTAAAGATTAAGCCCTCCTGTTCACACGTTCTTTTCATTCATAAGCCCAAGACTTCTGCAAAAGTGAGATCAATTATTCAAATAACCTTTGAATGTGAGATATCGTGGTTTTGTATTTATGATTCAAAATGCCAGGAAATGCCCAATATTGCTGCACAATATCATGCCTGTGTTGCTAGCAGGGAAAATGTCGCCAAAGGGCAGCCTGAATGTTGACAACACCGAAAGCAGCAGTCAAGATGGTCTATGGGATACTCTCTTGTTCTCACTATGATTCATGAAGTGACACTGAACAAGGGAAAATCTCAGAAGCTGATTCTTTTTTTTTCATTAGTTAACTCCTTCTTACCCAACAACAAAGCAATTATCATGGTTGTTTTTTGACAAGTGTGAATGGTAGTACGAATGACTGCCACTATGATGATAAACATCCTAATTATGATTACATTTTTACAGAGCCTGGAGGAATAAAGGTATGTAAAATAAAGGATCTGGTCCAACAAGGTACTGTGAGACCAAAGTATTATAGCTACAGTAAGTGCAAATTACAGGATTTGCAAATGCCATCGCTGGGCATATTAACACATTGCAGCATAAAAATGATCAAGTGTTGACCATGGGGAAAAATTGCAAGTTGAGGTTATCAGACTTAGTTCCAGACTTAGCTGGAGAGCTGGCTGATAGTTCTGCAGTGACTCTTAATAAGCTGCTGTGGAAACCTCATTTTTAGAGTACAATGTCCATTTTCAGGATTGCATTTTCTTACACTTCCTTAATTATTTTAACACTCTGTGCACACAAAATTTCACATCTTGACAGGGGAACCAATCGTCAAGGAGAATGGGAATGGCTGTATAGCAATGTCTGAAAGACCCATGCATCCTAGTCTGTTGTGGGGGGGGGGGGAGACATCAGCCTCGTAGATCTACATTATTGTTGTTGTGGTTGTTGTTGCCAAAACATAAGGTGTACCAACTGAAACCAGATTGGCCAAGGACAGAGATGGGCAAAGGACAACCTGCAGAGGTGCATGCAACCACCATAGATCCTAATATGGCCCCAGCACCTGAGTGCTGGATAGCCCCTAAATTAACATATATTTTAAAACAGATAAGAAAGTCCTTTATAGTAGTGGTCCCCAACCTTTTCCAAACCGCGGACTGGTTGGGGGGGCAGGGTTCATGCGCAGGTGGGCAGGGCACCTGTGCACACATGTGAGTGGGCAAGTGCACGTGCGCGCATGCAGGGGCACACACATGGGTGGCTGAGGCACCCGTGCATGCACACATGGGTGGGTGGGCCACCTATGCATTCGTGTGGGGTATGTGTGCATGCATGGGAGGCATATGTGCTGGGGGTCTGGGAGATCTGTCTCGGGTTCATGCGCAGGTGGGCAGGGCACCTGTGCACACATGTGAGTGGGCAAGTGCACGTGCGCGCATGCAGGGGCACACACATGGGTGGCTGAGGCACCCGTGCATGCACACATGGGTGGGTGGGCCACCTATGCATTCGTGTGGGGTATGTGTGCATGCATGGGAGGCATATGTGCTGGGGGTCTGGGAGATCTGTCTCCCACGGCCACCGGGGGTTGGGGATCCCAGCTTTATAGGATGCAGTCCTATAGAATGAAAGGATTAGTAAATGTCCCTGGATCTGCATCTTCATCTCTCAGTACCCCTTCTCCAGTATAAAATGCTTTTCAGAATTTTTATGTATATTAGTGTTGACTCTTGTTAGTTTTATATGAGCATTATATTATTTAAACTCTTTTAAAAGAGTTATATACAACCAAAATCATACTTTTTCACAATACTGTGGTATATTTTTGCCACATTGCCAGACTACTGAAGGGGCATTGTGAAAACTGATAAACTGATACCTATTCATTCATTCATTCATTCATTCATTCATTCATTCATTCATTCATTCATTCATTCATTCATTCATCTTCTATACTGCCCATCTGGCTACCAAGGGCACTCTGGGCAGTTCACAGCTTCATAAAACATGGAGGTTGAAGGGTAAAATTCAACAGTTAACCATTGAATCACTTGAACTTACACAAACTGTTTTAGTAAATCTAGTTAATACCATGGGTCTACTCTGGTTGGGACTAAACTAGATTTGGCTGAAAAAGGGAAACACAATTGTGAGTGGAACAAAGCCATTTCTTCTCATGTGCATATATGATTGCTACCGCCAAATCCCCACTATATACAAATTATCATACAAACTAAAGGAAAAAAGGAAAAAAGATGGACAAAAATATTGTATAGTAAAATAACACCGTCCCAAGCACCACTCTGAGGTTCTGAAAAATCTTAACATTGAATAAAATCATGGTCAGGAATAGTGCTAATTTAAATTTCCCTTTTAAAAAAAGCTAACAGAAGTGGTTAGAAACAATGCTTGAAATTATGAAAGAAAAGATAGGACAGGCCATATGCCCCACTCCCTTGACTTCCTCCAGTTTTTTTAGACAAAATATGTCCCATTCCTCTTTCAAAACTGGGAAAGGAAGACAAAACATCTCTGAAAAAAGATCTTGGGTAACAATAATAGCCATAGTAACGATACTCTCTGATACTTCCTTACCTGTATTTGAGGGTCCATACAGGCTGAACTGTCCCTCAGCAGTCACCTTTTCATGACCATTGTATTTTGGGGATGGCTGATACCCTGGGCCAGCCTGCTCCTGTTTTTCTCACAGACACTTTGTTTCCTTGTTTCCTTATGACTCCAAAGAGCTCTTGAGTCTCTTCAGTTGCTTATAAGGTATTCTAGTTTCTTAAGCAGATTGGAGTTTGTTGTTGTTTATGCTACCTTGTGATGCAATTTCCCCCTCATTCCTCTTCAAGAGTCATATATATATATACACGTAAACATATTCCACCCCAGCCTCAGGGCATATTCACTTCAACAGATTGTCTTGCAGTCCTATACAACTTGGGATTCAGCTTTATTACAGTGAGACCTACCTTTGAGTAGACATGCAACGGGTTGTGTTGTCACTTGCTTGCTTTTCCCTCCTATAACATCCAATGCACTTCCTATATTTTTTCCCCATGCCTTCGCCTGGTGATCATATTTTGTCTCCACCTAATGCCCATTTTTGTAAAATGCAGCAAATAAAAAGTGTGTGTGTGTGTGTGTGTGTGTGTGTGTGTGTGTGTGTGTGTGTCACAACGAGAGAGAGATTAACAAAATACAAATATTCAAGTATCATGGCAAAATACATCATCTTCTTTCTTCTTCAGTTGTCCTGTATAAAGTGTGCTGTAGTCAAGGTGGCACAGAATGCAGAGAACAAAGAGTTTCAAAGAGCAAGAATAACGTCAAGTATCCTTTTGGTCCAGGCCATGAGATCTTAGGCCTCTAGGTCCACAAATCCTAATGTTACATAGAAGGAAAATCCTTCCACCCCATACAGAAAGAGAAATATATATCTGGGCTTTCAGAATTAACCATATTTGCAACATAGAGGAAAAATAGTGAAAAAGAAGCTTGTTTCATGGAGAATATCCCCCCGCATATTATTGGCTCTAACATTAGGAGGGCAACCATCTTTTCAAGGGAAAAGTCTTGTTTATCGAAGTTATGACTCAAACAACAATGAACAATTTACGCGTTCCATTGGTAATGGTTATCTGTTCACCATTCCCTAATTCTGACAGAGCAACTACCCATTATTAACAAACTCTGAATATTTTGGTAAAGGTATCAGCAAGTCTCCTGTTATAGTTTTCTTCCATCCTTCAAATTTACAAAGACTGAAATCTTGTTCCATGACTTATGCTGTGTTTGGATGATGACATCATCAGCCATGACAAATTTCTGGGAAAATATCCTGCTGTTGGGATTTGTGGAAATGAAATACTTCCTCCCATTCTACATCCCCAATGACTTCCTCGTGACCAGGCGAATGCCATAGGACCTTGGGAGCTGAAGACAACACTACATTTCTAGCTTCTCAAACAGGGTTTCAGTCAAAGATTACTTGTGAGGGATGACTTCAGACCAGTGATCACCCGCCCTGTGTCACATCTTTCTGAATTCAGGAAATGCCTACCTGAACAACCCTTGC